CATGATGTGATGATGATCATGATGCATGATGTGATGATGATCATGATGCATGATGTGATGATGATCATGATGCATGATGTGATGATGATCATGATAATAATATTATGAAGATCATGATGGGGTTAATAATGATGGTGAAAGATGACAATGATGATAGTGGTGGTAAGCTAAGATGATGATGGTTGTGATGACAATGCTGTTAATAATTTGTGGTTTTCTGGTTGTATAAATGAGAATAAATAAAATATTAATGATGATGATGGCAATTTACCAAGCTTGTCAATGACAATGTGGTGAACCTTGTCATAACGATTCTTACATAAAATCAAAATTATCTTTTGTGGTAAACTTTATCCTAATGATTCTTACATAAAATCAAAATCATCTAGTATGCATTATCTATTTTACAACAAGACATGGTGGTAAAATCTCTTACCCAACAGTATGGCAGCATCCTCTACTTACCCCTTTCTCAGCAAGCTGTTTGCTTGTTGTTTCCAGATACGACGCCGCTTCACACCAGATATCAGGATTAAAGCCCATACACTGAAGACACTGCTCATATGCATACATAACCCTTCTTGTTAACAGTAATGTGTCGTCAATCCATAGGGGATTACTGCGCTCCCAGAAGATATATTTCTTCCAGATTTGAAGCTGTGGAGAAAATATTGATATTTAGCACCATCATCGTGTACTTTGGAAAAATAAAATATATATTCCCCTACCTCACACCCAACAAAGGGAGTTTGAATTTACTTGCAGTTTCCAAGGCCGAGCATCAGGGGTGACATGGGCTAAAAACCATAAGTCATGTGAAGGGCAACTGGCATCAACCAAAATAAATGACCAAGCCAATGCAGTCATTGTCTCTTGGCAATGAGTAACTAAACCTCGTTTCCTCTCCCCCCACAGTCTTGTTTTTACCTGTTTGACTTCCTCAGGGGTCCCCAGGTGGGGGGTAGATGGTGCTCCTCTCACTAATCCTCTGGTTAGTGCTTCAAATTCCTATAAAATATCATAACATTTGAAAGATTGTAATGAATTTAACAGGTTAGGCCTGCCTCCATATGAAAAGCTGCAAGAATTTCAAAAGTTAAGGGTTGAGACTGCAATGATATACTCTCTTGTTTTGAAAATCATAAAAGTGAGGCTTTAGGGTCGATGTAAAGATTGTTGTCTCATTTGCATGCATTGGCCATTCCATGATAATAACTGCTATTGTTTCATTGCCACTGTATACATACATGCTATAGAGACAAACTCTTGCAACAGATTAATGAGAAATAGACTACTGTTAATCAAATTGCTAGACAGTACGTAAAGGAACTGTAACCATGGAAACTGTGGGTAGGTACTTGAATGTAGTCTATTGCTCATTTATAGGTCATGACAATGATCTTAATCATCACCTAGCAATCAAAACAGTGTTAACGAAAACATGAAAACAGTCATCTTTTGTTTTTTTTAATAATGTGTAGTTATTATTTGTAGTTATTATTATATTTTTAGTTTGCCATTACCTTGGACATTCTCCTGGCATTCATGTAGTCTCTTGTCTTATCATCTATAAGTTTCTTTGCTAGTGTTTTGTTAATACCCTAAGAAATATCCAATTCAATAAGATACAATAAACAATACAATATTATTGTTCATGTTTTCTTGAGTGTATTTTTTATCATTCCAAAATATTATGGGGGGGTTTAAGTGATGGCCAGCTCTCCCCCTCAAACCTGCCCTATGGTCCACCCTCTTAGTAATTCCTATTAGAACACCACCTTACCTGTTCAAAGGTGTTATACTCTCTCCATATTGCCTCAACATTTATGATGGGTGTGGTCACAGCTCTTTGGAACACACGCCTGATGGTTAAAATCTTCTGGTTTTCGGCATATGAACCAACAGCATCACTAAAACATAAACAAATATTCGCTCAACCATTATGTGTGAGAAGACCTGAATATAGATGCAACTCAAACGAAGAATCTCATACTAAAGAGAATGACACAAGGTCTGTAATGGAAAATATAATTTTTACCTCCTTGCACTTTGCCCCCTTTCTTTGCTTTTGCTTTTGGGGTTACGTTAATATATTGAACAAGTATGCTTATATAAAAAATAAACAACTTTTACCTCGGGTTTATTGTGGGGTTCAGGACTTCCCTTACCCACCCCTTCCTAAAGTAATATTGCACTTAATGACAAGTAAACAGTACAAGTAATAGTGTAATAGTGTAACAAGTAATAGCGTACATACACTAACAAACCTGTGGTCCTCTAAAATGATGATAAATGAATAAATATAATTGTACAATATTGATGGTATCACTCACCCTGCCTTTAAGAAACCAATATAATCCATCCACACCTAACAAAACAATGAGGACGAAAAACAAACAATATACTTCTAGCACCAACTAATAAAGGTATTATATTATTAATAAATATGTAAGTAGTTTGTTGTGAAATGTAATCATCCAGGTGAGTGTAGTCTTGAGAAAGACTGTCGTTGGTGGTGACTGACGTTTTGACAACCTGAGCAGAAGTTATCTTCAGAGTCCAGTGAGAAAATGAGAGACAGCCAAGGTAAGTAGTGTAACTTGAAATTGCAGGATTGTGCTTCCTTAAATAATTCCACTCCCTTCAACTTCTTACTGGACTAGTATAGCATGCATATCCTTCATTTTTATCCATTCCCCTCTAGATCAGCTTATCAGTGGTAGAATGGAGTGACCCGCACAGCTTTTAGTGCTTAGAATGTATAGACACTTGACAGGGGCAACCGAGACGGGGGGAGAGGGCTATAGCCCCCACCTTTTCTACTAAACTTGCACATCTCCTTGCACGTTTTATATCGCTTATATATAATCT